CTTTAGGGCACATTCCTCACGACCTCTCCCGGGCCGATATCAGCAGCCGACCAAGACTTGGGCATCAATGCTCCGCTGCAGTACTCCAGCACGGGAGACCACAAACAACTGATTGTCGTCAATAAGGACACTGGCCAGGTCGCCGCTACTAAACAGCTGATCGCAGAGCTGGATCCCTCCGTCACTATTGTTTTAAAAGTTAGTGACACATAAGCTAATTAAGCTAATTAATTATACAACAGTGGCATGTAATGAGCCCACACGTGGTACACACCACACTGGTAGTGGGACCTCTGAGTCCGCACTGGTAGGTATCACCGCCCGTCCTATTTCTGCCATGAAGCAGTAATGCGTTTCGGTTTGAAGGGTGGGGCAGCCGTTGTAACTATACTGAGACCTTAGAACTGATATCTCAAGGTGGGTGGCGCATTTACGTTGTAGATGTCTATGGGCTCCAGTAACCACTTAACACCAGGTAGGCTGTGAGCTCGTTCAACCATCTAGACAATAAAAAAAAACTTGTACCGGTAGCGGCTCCTTAGGTGAGCAATGTTCGAAGGACCTAATGAAGTATGTAAGTAACTACTCTGTATGTCAACCTTGAGACGGATACTTATTTTTCTAACAAACTATGTACCACTATAAGATTATAAAAATAATTTCACGAAGATGAAATAACATGTTGTATAGCAAATACATAGTGCCTATTCATGCTATTTACCGCAAACCAAAGTGCGTGCGGCCTCGAAGGGTGGCGATGAGATAGCCGATGTTCTGTGGCATTTGACGACTCGGCCTCACTTCAATTGCTTGTATGTTTACTCTTAAACTTAAATTACAAAGATAACCAACAGAATAATAATTAAAAAATGCTAAACCTCAAAATGGTGATTAATTTATTTCAGGCAACACAAGTGGATAATCCAGATCGGTACGCGTTAGCGACGCTTACCATCCGTAGTTCCACACCACGATCTTCCACTCCGCCCACCAGCAGGCTTCAGTTCACCCAGAAGCAGTACTCGACCACAGTCAGTGAAGGAGCCTCGCCAGGATCCGTGCTCCTGACCCTAACCACCGTGCCACAAAATACAGAATTTAGGGAGGTATGTGAAAATAACTTTTACTGAATAAATACGAGGAAGGTCCGTTTGGATTTTTAAAGGAGTGAAGAGAAGATGCTTTTCAAATATCAATCGGCAAGCGATTGGTGGTCGTCAACACAACAGACTGCAGCTCCAGTATTAGATCTGCATTTCGCGATTGCCAACACTTATTCTCTGCTGATAGTATTGTGACGCGCATGCGCTCTGATTGAAAAGTATATTATTTCACATATTGTGTCTCAAAATGAAAGAAATTTCACATTGTTTCAGAGTCCACTACAGTTCTACGTATCAGACCGCAGCTTCTTGGATAAATTTGCCATCAACAACGCCGGTGAAGTCATACTCAGGAGATCCCTTGACTATGAAACTACGTCCAATTACTTCTACCAAGTTATGGTCACTGACTCTATATCAGTAAGTTGATCAATGTAACGCTTTTACCCTCTACATTGTTCCAATATTAGTAATGGATCTATATTTAAATAATATGAGATCCGAGGTTCCTTATGATAACTATATATCCGGTCATGAATCAAAGTTCACAGTACCGCCACGGTTTTATCGGTGCCCGCCTAGGTGGCACCGTTAGCTGACACTACCGGCATACCTCGTGGGGTAAGAAACAGCGAGAGTTGGGGAACACGGTCACCGTCATCCGGTTACACCATCCTCTTATGAAGGAGCTTTGAAAATTGTGTATGAGTTGAGAGTGAGTTAGATTTAGGTCGTCTATACTTTTGATGTCTGGAAAGGACACTACTAAGATCTTCTTTTATTTATTAGCACTAAACTTAAATTTACTCGTTCATTCTAGAATGACACAGCATCAATAAACATAAGCGTGGAGGACGTGAATGAGTGGGAGCCGCGGTTCCGACACCCGCAGTACGAGTTCGAGGTGGAGGCGGCGGGGGGCGCGGGGGGCGCGGCGGGGGGGCTGCGCGTGGGCCGGCTGGTGGCGCACGACGGGGACGCCGGCACGCTCGCGCTCAGCCTCGCCGGGCAGCACGCGCGGTACGTGCGGCGGCTTGAACAATGTTGTTATGGTGTTGGGTAACATACGGATCTTGTGGCAGCTTTGGTAGGCAGCGGCTTGGCTCTGCCCCTGGCATTGCTGAAGTCCATGGGCGACGGTAACCACTCACCATCAGGTGGGCCGTATGCTCGTCTGCCTACAAGGGCAATAAAAAAGCTGACGGAAACTTCTGTCCACTCTTTTCATAATATAAATGTACCGTGGCGCATCTCCGCTTTCCCGCTAACTTCCGGGTCATATTTTATTGCCTCCCGATTTGCGAGGAGGTATTTCAGAATCTAAATTCCTACGCCTTTTATTGTCAACTTATTATGTTCGTTGCGGATTCTAGAAAAATAAGCTTTAGAGAAAAATGGAGGGAAGGACGGCCCGAAAATATATTAAAAAGCTCTTAGCGCGATTGAGTGGCTATTATTGAGGCATATTTAAAATAATATAAATAATTTTCAGTATGTTCTACATTAATGCCAGCGGAGATTTATTCCTGCGGGAGGAAGCGATCGGAAATTTAAACTCGTCATCTCTACACTTGGTGGCCACTGCTATAGATTCAGGGATTCCACCACGACAGGTAATATCTTAAATTCTAAATAAACCTTTGAAGTAAATTAGTAATAAGTTATAGATACGACAAAAGGAAGATCTTCCACCGAGCGGGTGATGTTGCTCTGTAGACCGACGGTCCGAATGTTGTAGTTCGGAACTTATGGAAGCTTATCTTGAAAATGTCGTAAGTGAGATTCAGGCCTCTGTCAAATATCTTGTGTCCTGTGATGGCTACCTCCACAAAGTATTAATATATATACCATATTTTACAAAATAGTACTTTAATCTAAGGATTAGCGAGTGACAATAGCTTTATATTGAGCCGCGCGCTGCTTGCGTGCGTGCGTGCACAGATATACACACGAAAGAAGAATGAGTACGTCCAGGCGCAAGCATCGCATGTTCCTAACGACAAAACAACTGAACGAGAATCGAGCCCAGACCCAGTAGCGATCAGATGTTACAGTATTCAGAAGTGACCCATATCGTCAGGCTCGAAGGCCAAGTAGTCAGGCGTTACCATTGACAGAGGGATGACATTCGGTTCCCACGTTAAGTCTACTACGCTATGATCTGCAAACGAAGTATATTGTTCTTTCGTAGCAAGCTACAGTACAGTACAGTACTTGCATACGCTCCGTCATGACCTATTTAAGTGTTCGCTCACGCGGCCCATACACAAGTTAAATCTCCAGTTATTCAATTCCGTTTCTGTTGAACTGGTCGACTCCGACGAAGAGTTCGATGTGCGAACTAGCACACAGACGCAACTCAGTGAGTTACTCGTCCGATCTTCTCAGTAGGTCGCGATTCCGATCTGCTAGTAGATTCAGCAAATCACTGCTTTTGCTAGTGTTAGCAATTCTCTCGGGCTGAGCCCGTGAGCTCAGCTACCAGTCCGCGTGAAGTTGGAATAGCCCCTTAGGCTATCAGTGATTAGGTAACGGAAATAGTGTAGCTTTTAAAAGCAGTAAACAGCGGCTTGGCTCGATCTTAAATGATGACTGTGTCCGTGCAGACGTCGGTCCCGGTGACGGTGGTGGTGCGCGGGGCAGGGGGCGCGGCGGGGGGTGCGGCGGGGGGCGCGGTGCGGGGCGCGGGGCTGCTGGCGGCACTGGTGGCGGCCCTCGCGCTGCTCGCGCTGCTCGTCTGTGGACTCTTCCTCTACATATACACCGCGTTAGTACCTTTTATTTTACAACTTTTGTTGCTGTATCATTTACTGGTAGCATTGTGGATAGTTATGTCATCTACACATCGTGCGGAAAAGAGAAGTCACAGCGTGATGTTACTCTGGAACCGACAACCTTTAAAGAAAACATGTGAAATACAGAGCTTATATAGTTCAATTGCGTTGCTGACATTGCTCTTATTATAAATTTTAACCCTACATCACATGATAGTTAAATGGAAATACACCGATTACAGGAAGACAGTGTCATCGTCGATAATTTATATAAAAAATAACTATATCACAAAACAAGGCGTGAAATCCAAATAAATATGTAAATACTAAAGTTAATTGAAATGTGAAAAAAATATACTTTTTCCTTACTAATTGTTGACAAACTTTTTAGCAGGAAAAAACGTGTCAAATCTCCAGCACCGGCTCCGCTCAAGCCAGCAGGATTCATCAACCACGAGAAATCCCGACCGCTCCCCTCACCCCTGCCCCCCACCCTCCCCGACTCCGGCGCCAACGGCACCAACACTATGGCCAACAATGGCACAGCAACGCTGGCCACCAGCAGCTCTCTGCAGAGTGTCAGCGCCGGGGCTAGTACCATACTAGCCGGCTCTAGCTCCAGTCTTCATATGCCTGACGCTGCCACTAAGCCGTCAAATGGACACGAAGGTATGTTATATCTATATGTATTCATTATAGATAAAAAGCTTAAAGACTCGTGTCGAATTGACCTAATTCAGATCAAAAGTAATTCAACTAAATTACGGTTGCCATGCTCATTCTTACGTTATGGTTGTTCGAGTGGTTGTACGAGTTGCGACATCATTTTGCCATTTTTATGAGGCAGCTATGTTGGTTTTGGAAGAGCTAGAAAAACTAAAAAACTTTATTGAAATGCAATTGATATTACGATCGGAGGTGTTGCTAGCACTGGCCCTAGCAAGAGCAGTGCTTCGCAGAATCTACCATCGGATCGGAAACGAGACCCACTGAGAAGATCCAGCGAGAAACTCAGTGGGCTGTATCTGTGGGTTATTTCACCGCAATTATGCAACTGTCTTATGACAAGCAGGTGCGAGGAGCGGGGAGGCGCGGCGGGGGGGCGGGGGGGTGGTTCCGGCGGGCGGCGGCAGGGTGGCGCCGGCGGGCGGCGAGTGCGCTATGAGCGACCACCTGCGCGGCGGCGGCGGCGCGCGCTCCGGCGTGGCGTGGCCCGCGCACACTATCCCCGCCACGCTCAAGGCGCTCGCCTGGGACGACCACAACAAACAGGTACCTCCTGATACACCCTCATGAATATTATTTTAAAATTTCACTGATGGTAGGACCTCTTGTGAGTCCGCACGGGTAAGTACCACCACTCCGCCTATTTCTGCCGTGAAGCAGTAACGCATTTCGATTTGAAGGGTGGGGCAGCCGTTGTAACTATACTGAGACCAGGTGGGTTGCGCATTAACGTTGTAGACGTCTATGGGCTCCAGTAACCACTTAACACCAGGTGGGCTGTGAGCTCGTCCACCAATCTAAGCAAAAAAAAAAATTGAGAGCCATTGAATTAAATGTAGTGCACTACATTTTACTTGTAGCTAGTCACATTTAAATACTCAGAATTAAAGTGCACTGAAACTTAAAGCAAATAAGCAGAGGTAATTCGTTTAGATCCGTATAAAAGAGCCGATTGTTCCAGAGCAGCGACGCAGAGAGTCCGGTGCACGACGCGACCAACCGCGCGGTCGCCGAGCACATGAACCTCACCGTGTACTTCTGAACCCACGATCTGATCTGACAAACAATGACGATAATGAAATATCTGATACAAACAACAACCTCATCTTGGACGAGTATTTGAAAGCCAACATCATGCCAATGTATCCACTGCCAATGAAATATTTAACGAACCATAACTTGACTGACAATGTTAAGCTTACAAAGATTGTTAATACCGATTTTGCAGACGATAATCAAACTAGTTTAAGTAAAGAATATTGTAATCCAATTGAAGCTATAAATTATTGCTTCCCATTACAGAATTATAATCAGAGGAAACTTTCTGATAGTGAATGTAAGCCCGTGACGTCATACGCTTTGCCATCCCATAATGGGAATGCAAATAGTGGTGAAATTATTAGAAAAGGAATTCTTTCAGAAACTACACATATTTTGAAATCAAAAGACTATGCTATGGCAGAAAGCCTTCCTACTGTCACAAAGAGCTCATTAAAAGCAAGATATGAAGTTGAAGAAAAAATCAAAACCAAACCTAGAACAAACAGCCACAACGTTCATTTTGCATTAGAAGAAAATAATAAAAGCTCTAACGATTCTATGGTCCACAGCAACAAAGTTATTTATAAATTTGCACCCACCAGTAGTAGTAGTACACTCTCCTCTAAAAGTAGGCCTACAAATGGAAATCAATCAAATAGTAATAAATCAATGCCACTTATTTCTAGTCCGAGCCACAACTATAATATGTCAATGGATAAAATAGAATTATCAAAACCTAAAACAGCACCAAATTCTGTAGATTATTTTCCAATCGAGAAATCCTATGGGAGTGTTCCCATCGTCCCACACGACACAGGGTACAGCAAACCCATCGCCCCAATATTGTACGACGTGGCCGGACCGGTCCTGGGCATGATGTACCACGACCCGCCTCCTGCCTACGCGACTATAAACCCTAGGAAGCTGCACAAACATCATGTCAGACCCGCTGTATTCACGAGAACTGGATTAGATCCGAGATTCCAGATGATATAATATAAACTCAACTTCTTTACTTGCAAACTTTACCAAGAACTACAGATCCAAAGAAATATATAAATCGTAATTTGATAATTGTACAGTTGTCCACCGACCTAGCTAAGAGTAATTTCGGTGGCATGACACAAAACGCATGTACGACAATCCAATTAAGCTATCTTTGTGTTCTGATCCATGCGATGTTATTTATATCTTCAGGTGTATGGTGCATTAGTATGGGATCGCTCGCTGCTCATGACTTTATTAAATACAAAGACTTCTTAACTTAAGAAGTTGGAGTTCATGAAACTAAGTTTCGGTTCTTTACAGATATGATGACTACTATCTGATCACGATACTCTGGTTACTGAGAGCTGTCGAATAGAACCGGTCGCTATCGACAAATAAACATTAGTTCTCATCAATCAGCCCGGTATGCACCCCTTACGCAGGCGGAATACTTATCTTACTTTTAATTTAACGGCATACTTTATCATGCCAGTCTGATTAGTTAATGAGTTGATAATGTGTTTAATTACCAAATGAAATAGTCATAGATTAGAATACGCAAGGCTTATTTTAAAAAAATGTATATGTTATATATTATACTATTATAATACACACTTGGTGGTGGCGTCACGGGTTCCGGTAATTTCATGTAAAATCAAAATTATATCTAAAAGTAAGTGACTACTAATAAATCACTTTTATTCTCATGGAAAGCGACAAATTATAGTGAAAGAAAATTGTAAATGAAATGCTTAAATTATACATATACATACATACGTATGATAACGATAATGGGATTTATAATTATGTACCGTACCTTTCTACTGAGACCTACCCAAATTTTAAATAGGTGCAGTATACCAAATATTTATAACAGCGTAAGTTAAAAACTTAAGTTACGAGAATTAATACATAGTGTTATCTATATATTATGATGGTAAATTAGGCTGTTTCAAGTTATGAAGAATACAAAGTTAACAGTGAAATGAGATAAGTTTAGTATGTACAATAATATAGATCTAGAAGACAAACGTGCTAAATGCAAAATATAAGGAGGGGGAGTTTTAATTGCAAATAAATATAATTTGCGCTATTGGCGTAAGCAATAGCATAACGATAACATTAACTCTTATTTCAGCACTGTTATTGAAAAGAAATCAAGATAAAGGCAAAAAAATTTAGCTGATTTCCTCTTCTATTTACCAACCGGTTTTTTAGTTCTTTTTTTAATGAACTTTGTGTTATCAATGAAAAAGGAAAATAGTATTGGGCGAACACTAGATTTAGTGAATGAATATAATTTCCGATTGACTTTAGGACATACCCTTTTGCACCCGACAAACATAATGAAATCGTCTCTTTTCTATTATAAAGCAATTCCAAATTTATAGCACATCGTAAGAATCTTTCAACTAGTGTGCGCGCACAAAGCGACGATGCATGCAGTATTTGTTTATTAATGATAAGTCTGGATTTTATTAACTCACCTTAATACACAGAATCACGTAGAAATATTCTGTGTTATAAATGTCAAAGATTAATTTTAAATGTTATCGTTAAAATATGTTAGGGTCGCGACGATTGCACCCGATTCCCGTGGAGCCAGGTTGTTGAACGACTTATGTTCCTGTTCAAATGCAACTTTAAAATAAACATGCAGTGTGCGTTATTGCTTGCTTCGCTAGAAGTAATAGTGTTCTGTGGCTAAGATGTTCGGTTGTATTACATCAAACAACTAGTGTCCTGGAACATTAGGAATCCTGTGGTCAGCACGTTTGTAATTGATGTCAACAATAGATTCAGTTTAATAAAACGTTAATTGACGGAAGTTAAAGATTTTACCTCTTAACTTTAATTTTCGTGTCGATATTATCTAACGCTAGAATTATAATACATAAATATATAAGAAATGTTTTGAACTAATTTATGTTTGCTAGTTTGTTAGTATTATTTATTAGTTTTTAACCTTATCTAGTTAAAGCAACAATGTTATGTACTGTTTTAATAAATGATTTGTTATATATTTTATTCTTTGTACTTCAGATTGACAACGAATATTGCAATATCCATCTGGAATTTTATTCGAAGCTAAATATAATTGTCACCAAAGATAGTAATTGTGTTCTCATGTGAGAAGCTAAACTAAGCTAATCTAAGCAAGCATATGAACACAGACAGCGCTGCAACAAAAACTACTACACATAATAATTTTTTTTTTTTATAAATCACTTAGCTCCCTGCTATAAAGTTGATATTTAATAATACTGGACATTTGAAACATAACTTACGTACTATGACTGACAATTCATTCTAAATTCAAATGAATTTTATTTTAACTACATACATTTGATTGTTACAAATACCTGTGACATTTCATTTTATATACTTTTTATCTTCCTCTAAATTATTGTTGCCAAATTTTATTTGCGCGGAAAAGAAATGGAAATAACAAAAATAAAAGTTATGACATCTGGTACACACAACGCCATTGACTAGTCATTGACCGCGCGTCGCTCTTGACCTTGTGTCGAAAGTTGTTGCACAACGTACTGCGACACTGATGCAGGAGCGGCTATGGCTATGATATGTGTCGGTAACTTGAATAAATATTTAGTGGAGAATGAATGGCCTTTGTTATTCTCGCCGGATCTTCTCAGTGGGTCACGTTCCGATCCGGTCGTAGATTCTGCGAAGCATTTATTAGGTATATTTTATTGTTCAGGATAAGATTGACTTGTACGCATAAGTCACGAGCGCGTATATACTAGCTGTAGTTAGTCTTCATAGTGGTAAGGTACTGACCTTATAACTTTCTCCACATAGATTGGTAGCTGAGCTTACAATTCTTTTAATTTTAAATATTTACCGACGTAACCACGTGAATATAGTGAACCATTTTGAAATATCAAATTTTAAGTCAATAACAATAGTTTATCCTCCTTCAAATCAAAACGCGTGACTCTTTCACGCTAGAAATAGATCTAACCATATTAGCGACCCGTAAGCTCTCGCAACACTTCACCCAGTATGTACAGGGTGCAGAAGATAAGTTTGTAGTTCTCCGTCGACTGCCCTCTCCAGTAGAAACTTAATCCCTATATCAAATATTTCCATAAGCCCAACACGCTTCACATCGGTTTGTACATATGCGTAACACATTCTTACACACATGAAGATAATATAAAGCATTTAAAACGTATCATGTATGTTTATATAAAATATTTACATACGAAGAAGTGAAAGTTAGCGAACTCTAAAAGACATTGACATTAAAATATATTTCTGCATCTATTCTCACGTATCGCTAACTATCGCTAATTAACCACCGCTCATTTGTTTGGTGCAAAACTTTTTCTAAGTCATTAAAAATACGTTATAGCGCTGTTAAATAATTACATAACAGTGCGTCAGTTAACTGGAAACTCTTAGAGCTCCGTGACGGAAACTTTAGTGAGATGAAAAAAGAGGTGTGAGTTCGAAAACCGTCGGTATGTATTCACCTCACATTTTTATAATAGGGCAGTGTGTACAAAATCAATAACAAGTTATCAGTTCAGAATCAGATTATTATAAAGGGCGCAAAATGTCATACAAAAACCCATTTTTTTTATTTCAATTGACAGTCACATTCGGATTTTTCTAGTACCAATTTGGAATGCTTCACAGGTAATAAAGTCAGGGCCTTTACGCTACTATTACCTGTAAACTAATAAATGATCGCATGTGTCTGAATCTTGTAACATATCCATAATGTTGTTAATAATTTCTCTTCCGAGTAACAGTGAGTGCGAGTAACAAACAGTGGGAGTCGACTCAGTCGCGCATTCAAACTCAATCGAGTCGAAAGTGTACATTGCTGGGAACCTTATGTTTTCAAGTGTATTTAAACGCCTTATATATTTTCTTTTATTCATTTCGTAATTTTTTATGTGTTAAACTTTATTTGGAAGGTAAGTTTTTCTTTTACTTTATTTAAGTAAATAATTAAATGCTGTTAGTATTGTAATATTCAAAAGAGTAAAACTGAACAATAGTCAGCCATTTATGACTTCAACCTCATACATAAACGTAGACGGTGAGATTTATGATATACATATGATAGGTTAACTGATGAACTGTTAATCCTCCTGGTATTTAGTGCTCACCAAAACCCATAGACATGATAACGTGAATTCTTGAGAGATCCCGCTTCGAGATATGCGAACAAAGCTGACTGCTTTACGACACAAATAGTGCTATGGATAAAATAAAATAAAGAAGTTAATACCATTAGTACCATACCATACTTTTTTTTTTTATTGCTTAGATGGGTGGACTAGCTCACAGCCCACCTGGTGTTAAGTGGTTACTGGAGTCCATAGACATCTACAACGTAAATGCGCCACCCACCTTGAAACATAAGTTCTAAGGTCTCAGGTATAGTTACAACGGTTGCCCCATCCTTCAAACCGAAACGCATTACTGCTTTACGGCAGAAATAAGCAGGGTGGTGGTACTTACCCGCGCGGACTCTCAAGAGGTCCTACCACCAGTAATACCGATACTATACTATACCATACCGATAGCTAGTACCATTAGTCGTGCATTTGTATTAAAGGTGTTGATTTCCTATCTAATATTGCCGCCTCCAAACAATCTCGCCTTCCAGTGGGAAGAATGAGCGAACCGGTATTTTGTATCTAACGATTTGTGGTGTTGTTCACGTTCGTACAACAAACTCTTATAATTAAATCTTATCAACATACTCTTTATGGCAACTACGTGACATTAGTAGTCACGCACTACTCGGAAGATGAACTTATTGGAAAGAATGTATGTAATGTTTCTATGGTTAGCTTAGTAGGCAATTTTGTCAATTGTTCACTCCGAGCTAGTAGGTGGCTGTTGTTTGGTTTTCGTGAAAACCTCACTCCGTATACCACGTTTAATGAATCACAAAAGAATCTGAACAAGCAATGATGAAGAATTGTCAATATAGAGTTTGATTACGTCACAATTGTGAAATGATGAGAAACGAAATTACCAGACATCCGACGTGGACCCATGAACATATCCTTACGAATGAGGATACACAGTGATTCAACCAACCTTGCGTAATACACGCTTAAATGTAGGTAGGTACCTACTAAAGTTAGAAAATATTATTCATAAATAATATCTGATCACTTCGTGCTAGTGACAGGGTATACTGGTGATCTGTACGAATGACTTAACAGATGAGACTTCAACTTTATAGATTTATATACTCACAAGATCTATGGACGTGGGTATATGCTGGGTTTTAATGCATATGAAATAAAATATTATAGAGCTATAATTGCAAGGCTTGTGGGCTGATCAATACCACTTCATTTAGTATGTTCTAGGTTCACTATTGAAACAGTTATTTTGTTATTTGCCAACACCGGACGTTCCGGTACTATCAGCCCCTTGAGATCATATTCTGTTCATCATAAACACACATCCCATTAAAAACATAACCATAATAAGTACTTTCCAAGTCGAATGTGCACTTCCAGCAAAGTAGCATGAACAACCTTTTCGCGTATTAGTAATTGTAGCTCTACACTTGAAGTTGTCTTTTGAAGTCGTCGTGGCCTAAAGGATATGGGATACGTCCGGTGCATTCGGGTGTGTTCGAATTCCAGGCGGGGACCAATTTTTCTAATGAAATGTTCTCAATTGACTTCCACGGTGAAGGAATAACATCGTGTAAAAAAAATCAAACCCGCAAATTTTCATTTGCGAATTACTGATGGTAGGACCTCTTGTGAGTCTGCGCTACCCGCGCCTATTTCTGCCGTGAAGCAGTAATGCGTTTCGGTTTGAAGGGTGGGGCAGCCGTTGTAACTATACTGAGACCTTAGAACTTATATCTTAAGGTGGGTGGCGCATTTACGTTGTAGATGTCTATGGGCTCGAGTAACCGCTTAACACCAGGTGGGCTGTGAGCTGCTACTCATCTAAGCAATAAATAAAAAAAACACTACTTTCTTAATATTATGGAAAGCAGAATTGCGTGAGTCTGTACTGGATTGAGAAAATGGAATACGTAATGGTACTTAAAATAATAACAATAAACGAAACAATTTAAGAGCATTACTAACAGTTTATAACCAAACCTGCGATTCATAAAAACACACGAATGAAGATTAAAATCTGAACTTTCCACTGGTCTCTGGCGGATCTGCGTCAGGCATCCTTGTCGCTTTCACCGGCGACCGGTATATTACGAGTCAATTACGTCACGAATACGATCCGTCTCGTAATAACTACGTGACTAACATCGTAGTTCGTTTTGTTGTGAAACGGAATGTAGGTTAAGGTGGTTGAAGTACCAAAGTATGGTAAGGATGGCCAAGGAAAATAGTAGTTTAATTAATATTTAATAATAAAAAGCTACATACTAAATAGGTATATATTTGAATTAATACAAATGTATGTTTGATTTGCGGTAAGAACAGAATAGGTACGAATAGTAGAGGATCCTGCTTGCTATTACTACCGGTAGTAGTACTTCGGCAACGGTTATCCATAGCCGAGCCGCTGCCTTAGAAATATTTTTAAACGTCGTTTGAAAAATGGCATAGCCCGCGGGAAACAGGTAGGAGAGTTAAGTTCAAAACCGGATAGTGAAGAGCCAAAAGAACTGTTGAAACAAATCAGCGATTTTCTTTTAAACTACATACTATTAAATAAAAGTCTGCATTAAATAATACAGTATTAAATAATCTAAAACAATATGTTGACTTACTTCGTTGTACAATGCAATTGCTTTAAGTGAGTTTCCCATTGAGATACTCTACCGAAGAATGAGTATGAGCACAATATTATATTTTATTTCTATCTAACTCATTTCAGATGCAATATCTAGTCCAACTCATGGTGGCATTCCTCTTGACGACGCAGGCGAGTAGTGACAACAGCACGCTTTCAGAAGACACGTGCATCACGGAACACGGACTATGGGGCAGCCTGCTCGAAAAGTGGGCCGTCTCTGCAACTCCACAACATACAAGACAAGGTATTCATTCGTTAGAATAATCTTTATTTTTTATTGCCGTATAGGCAGACGAGCATACGGCCCACCTGATGGTGAGTGGTTACCGTAGCTCATGGACGTCAGCAATGCCAGGGGCAGAGCCAGCTACTGCCTACCGTTTAATACTCTCCACAAGCCTTGCTTGAAGAAGGACATTTCATAGCGCACAGGAAACACCGTAGAGGGGTGCTCATTCCAAAGCCGGATAGTACGTGGCAAAAAAGATCTCTGGAAACGCACTATGGACTCTGGAAACGCACGCAATCTCAAACTTTTTTAACTTCAATAGAAAAGAGTTTGAAGGATCTACCCAAAATTATGCTTTATGTTAAAGAACAGTGTCACAATTATCTACTAAGGATTTTAACTTTACTGGTAATTTAACAGATTTATAACTCTTCTAAAAATATACATAATAAGACCTATATTTTAAATAAAAGTAAATTTGTAATGTATTTTATTAGCTTAATCTTAAGTAGATAAAGTAAAGAATGTTTTACTATTTTCCAGGCCGCATAATGGCGTTGCCCCCTGCCCACGGTTACTACGTATCTGACCGGATAGATCTCATGCCACCACCACCACCGCCTCCCCGCTTGTACCCCACTACTCAGCATCTGCCTCACCCCTCGCACTACAATGAGTGGCAGGCCAGTCCGCCACCGCCACCAGGACCTGGGAAGATTGTTAATCGACCACCAAATCCATATAAGGATAAATTTAAACCTAGTTATGTAAGTTACATCAAAAGTAGAGTAGTACTTACTAAAAAAACAAAAGATTAACCATTAGGAAAACTGTGTACTGAATCACCGAACTCACAAGCAAATACATCGTAACTAATCGGGGTCTACACTTAGTGACAGAAATGAAGCACGTCGAATCAATTAGATCCAAAGTTATAATTTTGTAGTAAATTTCAGTGCGGGTAAGTACCTGTCCTGGTGAAATTGGAAAGGCTTTCGGGCCACCAGTAATCTTTCAATCATAAAAAAAGTGAGGGTAAGTAGACGAGCTCATGCTCCGGTTGGCTCTGAGTGGTTACCCGGGCCCACACACAAAGACCAAAATCGATATGAAGTAGTCAAAGTCGCTAATATATGCATTAGACTAATGACCTCACACTGTATACAAACGGAAGACTTGCTTGCTTCGTGGTAGAAGTAGGCAGTATTGTCAGTCTCTACCGGTTAGTAATAGTACTACACAACGCTATACTCACCAGTACTGAAGATGGGAAATAGAGAAACAAATAGATAGAAAAAATCAGGCTATTCTCTTTACTCTATTCTTCTTTTCCATCTTAGATTATTTTATTAAAGACGAACGTCAGTGATAAATCCAGACGAGATAGTAACTGCTTTAAGCTAGTAGTAGTAAGATCCTAGTCTTTTACAAATACTACTCACTACGGTGATAATATACCTATAGATGAAATTAAATGTATAGAAAAGTATAATTTCAAAATGGCGATGGCCGCTTTTTTTTATTTCTTAGATGGGTGGACGAGCTCACAGCCCACCTGGTGTTAAGTGGTTACTGGAGCCCATAGATATCTACGACGTATATACACTCCCCACCTTGAGATATAAATTCTAAGGTCTCAAGTATAGTTACAACGGCTGCCCCACCCTTCAAACCGAAACGCATTGCTGCTTCACGGTAGAAATAGACAGGGTGGTGGTACCTACCCATGCGAACTCACAAGAGGTCCTATCATCAGTAATTACGCAAATTAAAATTTGCGAGTTTGATTTTTATTACACGATGGAATGGATCCTTCCCCGTAGAAGTCAATCGTGAACATTTGTTGAGTACGTATTTCATTAGAAAAATTGGTACCCGCCTGGAATTCGAACACCGGTGCATCGCTCAACACGAATGCACCGGACGTCTTATCCCTTAGGCCACGACGACTTAATTACCATTTTTCATGTACCCATAGTATTAAGAGCGTTATGAAATACATACATTCATTGTTGCCGATGTCTTACAGCCTAATATTCTCATATTTGTTTCATCAGCCGCCTCCATCACCGAATCAGCCAATCCCAGTTCACACTCCGCAGCAGCCATACGCTCCTGGAGGATTAGTCGACCGGGTGGACGAGACCAAACCGAGCAAACCACAGAAGCAAGTTTCGGAAACCGATCTATATTTGCTGACCGCTATAGAGAAATTGGTTTATCGAGTGGACTTAATGGAGAAACGGTTGCGAAAAATGGAAGAAAACGTCCATTTCGTTTTGGCTGGAACTGATGTGAAGCCGGGTAAGAAACCTTTTCTTTTGAAGAATTTTAAACATTTGTTACGTAGTAAACTGAATGTTACTGGGTACTTACACGGGAAAAAATTAAACTTCTTCAATTATTTCCTATTACCTAGGTACTGAAAAAGAGCAACAAAAAAGATAAATGTATTACAATTTACTAGACACCAAATTTATTATATGAATAACTTTCACTACCACGCGTACAAATGTTCCGTGTTATTTTATACCGATCAAGTATCAATACCAACCTCTATCAAATTACGAAACATTACAATGCAGAGCCCTGCGCCAGTAACTTCACTCGCGTCGGAAGCGGCTGCTATTACTTCTCGACGGACGCGATCAACTGGAAGAATGCCAACTACGCGTGTCGGAAACTGAAAGGCAACTTGTTGGAGCTCGACGCGGACGACGAGAAGCGGCACTTGTTTGCCAACTTGCTCTCAGATAGCAGACTGAAGGGTGCGTCCAATTATATTTGCATTAGAGCTTATGTTTTTCTAATTTATTGTCTGCTTCGTGTGCTAAATATTTTGCAGGCACACTCATAGTCAGCGTTCTCTTAACAATGTATTTTAATAATGTTGGATAATGTGATACGTCAAGTATGCTTTAAGCCACTTGCTAAAGTATCGCTAGCGTTAACTCGTAAGTATAAAGCTTAGAGAACCATTTTAAATTAAAGTATTTTCTATCGACTTCAGGTGCAGATTATTGGACGGGAGGTCTGAATCCAGGTCTTCTGTGGATCTGGTCCCACTCCGCCAAGCCGGTGTCATCCAACAATACAAACACGAGCAGCTCGCACAGCATCGCGGGCGAGGGTCGGTGCTTGGCGCTGGTGCATGACCCGGCTCTCCACTCCTACCTGTACCGCGGACAGGACTGCGCTCTGAGACACAGATATGTTTGCGAAAAGGAAGAAGATAATGACAAGTTGGGGAATGAAATAGAAAGAGTCGCCAAGAAATTGAGAGAAGTTAAAAGGAAATCTAGAATTTTAATTAGTGGAGAAGACCCGTGATGCAACTGATGCTACTTGCATCGCGTCCCAGCCGTGCACTTGTTCACTTACATAATTAATAGTGACTATTTGTGCAGCCGAGCAGAACTTCATGCTCGCACGCACAAACCAACACACACTGCACATTTATTTAAGCTTGTATAAGTTAGTTCATTAAATGTTAGTTCCAGCTTATCTCGCAAGCGAAACTTCAAGCAAATGCGTACATTAGTCATTGTCAACACATGTAGATAGATATACCTATTGCTTCTAGTTACATTGTAAGTGATCGTAGTATATGGTAGAAGTGGGTGGGTGGAAGTCGTCTCCGTGACTGAAGGAGGATCGCTCAAAGCAAACGGAGTCGATGCATAGAGCAATATTTTTTCTAAAATTAGGATTAAATTAAAACACCAAATCGTTTATGCTAACTTATTTATATCTTTGAATATTTACAAAATTACAGGGTATATATAAGTCACAACAAAAATAAATTATTACTAAATACAAAACACAGAAAATGAGTAACTAAACTGCAGAAGTATCGTATAAAGTAAGTAATCGAAACACAAGCGGCGGACCTGTCCGGCTCCACTGTGTGCCCCGCACTGTTAGCGACTACGCGGACCGCGACGGCGTGGCTCGGCGGGGCGGGGCGGGGCGGGACGGGTAGATAGAGGACTGATTTTTTTTTAATTGCAATAGTAGGCAAAAGCCTTAAAAACATAAGTTTTTATACATTAATAGTTATAAATAGACTTATTGTTATATATCAGTCGCAGATTATTTGTACTTTAACAATAAATAGTTTTTTTTTTATTATATTCAATTGTCTTATTCATTGTGCAGTACATTTGAGCTTTACTCCACAGCCGGATCTCTATCGAACGCATTAGTAATTTGAATACAAGCCAACAATCCAGTAGTTAATGTTCAAACGATACAAATATTACTCATGTTAAAATGATCTTTTTTAATATGAGTAATATTAGTATATAATATTATTAGGAGTGTTTTAGCCACCAAGAGAAAAAGCAGTTCAATAAGCTAATGAAACGGCTCTCCGGCTTCTTGCAATCGCCAACCAAAACATTATTGTAGAAAACAAATCATTTCACAGAATCATAAAGTGACTTTTTATAAAACTAATATCAGCTTTATTGTTTACAGCAAAATGTGTTTTTGCTTTGGTCGCTAACGTGATGAATCAAGTTTTAAATTTTAGTATGGCAAGAAAAAAATCTGTAGAGAAATAAAATAGCAAGAATACAAACAAAATAAATTAATGTAGTATATTTTGATCTAATATTTCAAAAGATATTAAGACATCGCCATTGTTACCGGGTCTCCTCGTGCAACCCCCGGCGTGACGTCATCTCGCGCGGGCGACTCCGGCGCGGGGTGGGCAGAGAAACATATTTGCGATTTGTTTATAAAACATTTAATAACGAACTTAGACTAGTTTTCTGGCTTCCTCGTCTATTCAATGTCTTTAAATATTTACAATTTATTGAGTTAAATTATTTACAATATTATTTTTGTAAGTTCTGGGCGCTCGTGTGCGTGGTCCACGGCGCGACAGTTAAATGCGAGTATGAGCCGGTCGTGAGGTTAGTTGAAGTGGAACTTGAACTGGAAGGGGCTGCCGTGCTGGAAGTGGTGGAAGGGCGAGTGGAAGGCGTCGTGTCGCTGCGCGTCGGGGTCCAGCGGGTCCGAGCCACCGTCGAACTGCGCGCGCTTCTCGGGGTCCGTCAGCACCTGCGGGACCAACCCTCGGTACTATACACACTCAGACCTCGCCGCACTGGATTTCAAGTCGTCGTGGCCCATAGACCTATATAGTAGGGACACGACATATTGTTCTATACGTACAATTGCTTATATAAATAGCACCCATTTTGAAGGCACATACATAAACATATATCTATCTCGTTCTTACTCAGCACTTTAACTCGCAGGAAAACAATATAACAGTATTTCAGTGCGTACATAAAATGAAACATGAATATACGTAAATGTCTCCGTCTCCGTCTAATGAGGCCGAAAATCCGCCATGTTTAGCGCGCCAAATGTCATTGTCACGTCAGTTCGGCCGTCTGTTTTGGGTTGTACATTATTTATTGACTTTGATATCGATTTAATATGATTGATTATATAAAATTTCTTATTTTATCATGCTTAAAACATACAAAAATAATAATTAAAACATATTTTATAGGATCTCAAGAAAGTCGTCGGAACTATTTAAATAAAATAGTTTTATAACACTATTGTCAACTCGTTAAATATTTAATAATTAAGTGATTTTAGAGAGGAAGTCACAAGGAATGACGTTTGTAATTTTATTAACGAATAAATGTTCTGTAGGTGTTTTTTTTTATCAGGCGGTCCCTTGATAAGTTTAAAATTTGAATCACTCTCAAGTGAGAGTGATTCAAATGGTGCGGCGTACCTTCCTTGAGGTGCGCTGCGGTAGTGTGTTACGGACTTTAGAGTCAGCAAAACAATTAAAATAGATTGTAATAGTCTAAGAAAAACACGTACTCAAAATACGATAACATTCAGCATGCTAGAAATGGGCAGATGGCACTGTACTACGCCATATCTTTATGTTTTGCGGCAAACGACAACTTTATAAAATCAGTGTAGCAAATTTTAAAAATCGTCATATCGTTTACTTGGCAAATTTGAAGCACGAACTCGTCTTAGATTTCACATAATATCTAAATCACATCATCTTTGCACATAACAATATACTTACTTCCTATTAAAGTATAAATTCTACAAATACATTCACTCAACAATATTTAAAATAAAATGAGCCAAGAACGTTTATCGATAAAACCTACTAACATTAAAATCTTCTGGGCAGCACTAAAACCGCCATGTTTTGTGGCCAGATGACGTCACAGTGGCACGAATTTTTTGTTGACGTTTCATTTCCATAGGTTTCCTACTTCAGTGTCGTGGCCAAAGAATAAGACGTCCGGTGCATTCGTATCTAGCGATGCACCGGTGTTCGAATCCCCAATTTTCTAATGAAATACGTACTCAACAAATGTTCACGATTGACTTCCACGGTGAAAGAATAACATCGTGTAATAAAAATCAAACCAGCAAAATTACAATTTGCGTAATTACTGGTTGTAGGACCTCTTGTGAGTTCGCGCGGGTGGGTACCACCACCCTGCCTTTTTCTGCCGTGAAGCTGTAATACGTTCCGGTTTGAAGGGTGGGGCAATTTATGTCTCAAAATAGGTGGCAGCATTTACGTTGTAGATGTCTATAGGTTCCGGTAACCACTTAATACCAGGTAGGCCATGAGCTCATCCACCTATTTAAGTAATAAAAAATTAAATAAATAAACGGGGAGCGCCCGCTCTCAACTACTACTACGTCACGTATGTTTCTGTGCTATTCACTCTCAGGTATAATTCCAATGCATCAAATTAAATTTGTGTACAGTCACGGACGGACAAAGTGGTTTGTGTGATGGTGACGATGAGATGATGGGATGATAAATAATCTCAAACATTTCTTCAGTTCAGAGTACTCCTCATGAAACACACGGTATAAAATACAGAGAGAAATGAATTCCCTCCGCAGACCCCGAGGCTCCGAACGATCTGTGAGAATGGGGTTATTGACAGTCAGAGCGGTCCTCTTCTGGATAGAGTTAAATGGAAGCTGGTATTTGGGAGGGGGCTCGCGTGAGGGAGCTCGCGTGTAGTGCCGGGCGGACATGGCGGCTCGTGTGACACAAACCTCTTTAGCGGCGGCGATGTCGATGAACTTCTTCTCGGCCAACTTCTTCTCGTCCCCGTGGTAGCTGTCCGGGTGCCACTTCTGCGCCGCCTTCCTGTACGCCTTGATGATCTCTTGTTTCGTCGCCGTCCTGCGGAGCGAGGGCTCGCGTCACTACCAGTACTACTACTACTACTACTAGCACCGCGAGTGGAGCGAACGTTACCTCTTGACACCCAGGATTTTGTAATAATCTCTTTGTTCGGATTGTTTCTGCAGTTTCTGCGCTCGGCTGAGGCCTTCCTTCGCTCGCTGAAACCCTTCATCTAACTCCAAGGCCTCCTTGTACGCGCGGATAGCTGTGAACAGGAGCGGCGCTGTAGATGTGTGGGGGGGCGTGGCGGGGGAGGCGAGGGGAGGCGGGGGGAGGCGGGGGGCGGGGTGCACGTACCGTCGTCGTACATCTCTAGTCCGAGCAGCGCGTCGGCGCGGTCGCACAGCAGTCGCGCGTCGCGGCGCAGCTCCAGCGCGCTGCTGCAGTGCCCCAGCGCCTCCGTGTACAGCTCCTCCTGTACAGTCAGGACGTGTTGGAATAGTGAATACTATTACTTATTAAATATGCCGGAAATTATTCTTTATTTATCTCATAAGATTGTAGTTCTGCATATATTTTGGTTCTTTAATTAAAACGTATTGGCTGAATTGATTCCAGTTTGATTTGCTATCCTATGTCATACTGATAGGTTGCGTCGTGGATATTCAAAGGAATGTTTTTTTTATTGTTTGCTAAATGGGTGAACGAGCTTACAGCCCACCTGGTGTTGAGTAGTTACTGGAGCCCATAGACATCTACAATATAAATGCGCCACCCACCCTGAGATATAAGTTCTAAGGTCTCAGTATAATTACAACAGTTGCCCCACCCTTCAAACCGAAACGCATTACTGCTTCACGGCAAAAATAAGCGGGGTAATGGTACCTATCTGTATGGACCACAGATAACCCCCAATAGATACCACATTATTCAACATTTGTTTCAATTCGACTTCACCAAATTTTGAGGTAAGCATGAGTGGCGGGGGACGTGTCAAGTGTGCTGTGATTGGATATTTCAAAGACAAACTTATAATGCATCAAATCATAGTGATGGGACAGCTTTAAAATTGTTGATCGATAAAGGGGATGGCCCATTTTAGGCCCAAAGCGGACAATAGATTATAGAAAAAATACTTAGTGCATTAATTTTGTCATAAATAAATATGCATTTACTTTCTTGCAAATAAGCGCCACTATAGTTTACAATAAGTAGTTTAAAAAAAGTAACTCTATTGAAAAAACAAGGATTTTTATTTTTGCGGGAAAAATATTGCCAGCTTCAAATCCTTTTACGTATGAAGTAAATATTTTGAGTATATAAATAAAACATATAAATAAATCATTTTAAGTATTATCATTAATCAAACGATTTTAATGGATTTTATGCACATAAAATAACATCGAAGACATACCCATTGGACTTTAACTTGTAACTATACTTGAGACCTTAGAACTTATATCTCAAGGTGGGTGGCGCATTTACGTTGTAGATGTATGTGGGCTCGAGTAACCACTTAGCAACACCAGGGTGGCTGTGAGCTCGCCCACCCATCTAAGCAATAAAAAAAACTTTACTAGTATTGTTATTTAAATATGTACAACTAAAACAAAAACATAAAAAATAATGTGTACTCGTAAAAAAAAGATTAAGATATAAATCAATTATCGGTTATTTAAAAAAATAATCGATATATGAATTTCATGTAATTATTTTTCTTTATACTGACAACACTGAATTTAATCTGACTGACTGACACTTCGCTTGCTGCTTGTGGTGTTGTGCTTGCGTACAAAATGGATGTGTTTTGATTTTTCTTCGATTTATTTTACTTTTATCAATAACGTTTCATACTACGACTAAAAAACATTGTGTGAATTGTGGTTTTACCCTGACCGAGATTTAAAACCGTGTATATGCTCTCCTTTGCTATTTTTAGATGATACTAATTGTGTATGAAGATGAAGAAAATATAGATATTTAAAGAATTAAGTGTGTTTTTATACCCTATTGGATAAAAATACATTAGGAACATCTTAAACATTAAGAAAAGAAAAGTTCTTGAAGTATCTCACAATCCGACACTTATTTATATAGAAAATTAACCTCAAAACGAGTTTTTATTTTTATTATATTTTTTATAATAGTGGCGTCAATTTCAATATATTTTTTAGATATCCAATACATTTAAGAATTTGAATCAGTACATTTTTATAGTAATATTTGATGTCCATCTTGGGCCTAGCACACTATGGAGAGTGGGCAATCCCCTTTGGTAGGATGATCTGGATCATTGATATTTTAATTTTATTATTAGTTATAAATAAAATATAAATTAATTCTAAATTATCCAATATTTATTAAAAATAAATAAAAAAGGATCTAAGTATATTTCATTGATTTTTAAAATGAATCAGCTTAGTAAAAATTCGTCTTACAGAATTCTTAGGATCTGTCTTCCTTGATAAGTAAAGAAGTCTTATATCTATATATTTTTCCACGACACTGTGTTAAATCAATAATGTGATTACAATTTTCGTGATCAAATTGGTGATATATCAGGAAAAATACTTTCACCAACAAAACTACTTAATGTTTGTGTTACAAAACGTTTTTTATCTTTATATAATATTTTACAACCTTAGGTTGTATTTATTGAGCTTCGTATGACTTTCTTGATAATGTTTTAAACATTAAACATTACTGGTTTAATAGTAAGGTTTTTTTTTGCTACAATAGAAAAAAAAAAAAAAATGCCCAAACAAATGTCGACTTGTAAATCACAACACTATCGATACACGTGCAGATTTAGACAAAGACAACTATTGTAATTTACATGATGAGTGAAAGGGACATTTCAAAAAGACATCAAGGGGTGCTTTGATATTATTACTTTTCACATTTCGTTACCAGTATAAGTTGAACTCTGGTTTATTCGAATTACGTTAATGTAATAAAAGTACAGACAAGTAACAGTAGTTACCGATGAAATGTTATGCCATCTTTTTGATAACCAGATGTCTTAGATGACTTGCCACACCATTTTATTGCATAGGAAGCCATTTATAATATTATTTGAATTTAAAACTATCTTTAAATATTGGCAAGAACTCGGCGTGCTTACGGGTCTTAAACTTGGTCAATACTGATGTCGTGATTCTTAGCGTCACTTCATATACTAGCTAAATCACTAATGTGCTGTGAACATTTGTGGCCCTGTATGCGGAATCTATTGGGGGTTATCTGTGGTGTGGACTCACAAGAGGTCCTACCACCAGTAAGAAATTGAATAGAAAAGAATGTATGTAAAGGTCCCCCAGATGATAAGTAGTCACAGTCGGTGAGGCGGGGCACAGCTCTGCAGTTGTGGTGTGTGAGCTCGTGTCGCTCATTGAAATAGGTGCAGCAACTGAGGTGAGCTCACGCGAGCGAAATTAAGCTTATGAGACAATGAAGTTTATTTTTTTTTCAAACGCTCTTCAAATTTGTCATCATACTACATAAGTTTTATTTAAAAAGAACGAGAAAAGAAAATCTATGTCAAAGCCTAAGATCGAGTGTGTTCATACCTTCACCGCACAAGAGCAGAGCCACCTTCGGGCCTCGAAGATCACCAGAGTGACTTCTGTCTCTACGAGCAGGACAGCGGAAGCACTCTTCATGCATCCTGCAAAATCTCTCGCTGAACTCTTGTCTTCACACTCCTGGAGAAGTTTGTCCACTTTTTTCACCTTCTTGTAAAACGGAAAACATTTCTTGTGCTCCGGATCTAATTTTAGACATTCTCTGATTTCCTGGGGAAGTTGAAAAGTTAATATGACTGTTTACAATTAATTAAATTGAACAGATTTAATGAGAGGTACTCACTTTGAGCGCGTCACTGACATGTCCCAATTTGTACAACAAGGTAGCGAGCCGGTAATATCCATCAGTAGAGTCTTGCTGTAATCTATTTACTGATCTTATGTCTGACACGGCCGAAAATAAATCATTCTGAAAACGAAATTACAAAAACACTATGAATCTTTAATATCATTTTTATGAAATATTGTAACATCAAGTATTTTTAAGTGTTATATTTCTTCGATATTTTTAATAATATATTTTGTGTGACAATTCATTATTATGATTTTAAATTAAATAAAAAGATGGGGTCTACCCACAAACAGCAATTTCTATGGTGCTTTTCCTCTCAGGACAGAAGTTTGATTTAGGAAAGAGATTAGTTGTTGTAATATTCAACAGTCTGCCTCAGTTTGAAATGAAGGGTAAATTTTTGACAAATAGCTGGTTACCAAAGCCACGTAGGACTCTGCCCGCAGCTGCCGCAAGTGTGCGCTCCAGGGGGACACGTCGAGCAGGCGGGTGGCCAGCTCCACGGCGGCGCGGTGGTCTCCCCCGCGGTAGTACGCCTCCACCAGCCGCAGATCCTCTATGTACTCGTCTATCCTGTGGTACTGATTGATTGCTTCTTCGTTGTACGGATCCGCATATGTCTACAAATTAATTGAATATGTTTAATAGTGAATACATAAGCTTTATACCTGTAGGGAACAAACAGGGTACAGGGTACCAAATATAGGGTTCAGATGCATTATTCTGGGGATCTCTAAAAATCGTATAAAATTTTACATTAAATTAAAACAAAGTGTCATATGTCTTATGGGTAATAACAACGTAACTTAATACCCAGCAGCACAGGTCAATTATAGTGACAAGTCTAATACTTAGTAAGAGATTTATGAAAATATGTCTTAATAGCACTTTTGAGCCACAGTAACATACCTGGTTAATAAATATACATAGTATATTTGTTAGACATGTTAGATCTGATTTTATTTGCTTTAGATTTCAATTATAGGGTAGAATTAACAATTAACTACATATGAGTCGTCTATTATCAAAGCCGGCAATCTGACTTTTGGACAATGATTGGTAAATCAGAAAAACGAATTATTGACTTTGTATTCCATTGGCAGTCACAAAACTCTTCGGAACGACATCTTAGATAAATAAAAGGTTAACTATTAACCTTTATTTAATGCAGGTTTTGAACCGTATTCTTTGAAGGAGACGATTATATTCAAATCAATCTGTATTGACATATCAATAAATTTTTTTTGTCCAAATGCACAGATTGCCACCTTTGATAATAGACGACTCATATTCCAATTAAATTTTTTTTTATTCTGTTGTAATCAAACAGCAGAAGAAATTTTATTTTGTATGTGATTTTGTATCATGTTTCATTAGGAGTGTACTAAGCAGTTTTTCAAGTTCATCTTGTCATCTCTTTTTATCATTCAACTACACTACATTGATGTTTACTACATTATATGGTTACTACCCGCTACATTTAACATGTATTTCCAGATAGTTTTTGGTATTGCAAAACGGGTTGTAAAACTCATCATTGTGAACATGATGACTATGACTGCTATTCTAAGAGTGCAGCAAAAGAACAAGAATCCCCCCTCCATACTCTCCTGAGCACTATAAAATGTCTACATGGAGTTTTAATAGAACCCATGCAGTTGGTTTAGGTTGTCTGTATGCCTGCCTTCTTAGCCATTAAAAAAAGTTAACAACAATATTTCAAAAGATAGTAATAAAGTAATTTTTTTAGAGAAATTGATTATTCAATAATCTTGATTCTTCTTATCATACATTTATCAAAAAAATTCAACATAATATGGGATAGCATAACATAGAAATAATATTTCTAGAAACTCACTTTTTCACTTTTTTTTTGATATTTAAGAAATATTCATAAAAATTGTAATGTATGTGGCCCACATTCTACACTGTGTGATACATTAATGTATGGTCCAGCAGTCGACATTGCAATTAATTAAATATTTTCACACATCTGTAATCTGTACCTTTTTTATAAATATGCCCAATTTAACATTTTATATTATTCAATATCTATACAGTAGATGTTTCTTATCTAAAAAATAAAATTATACTAATAAGAGTTTTCCAATTCACATTGTAAGTTTTCACAGACATTTCCTTTGTTCTTATTGATATCAAAAACAATAACTATGACTACTTATTCAGCATGCACTCAAGGCCGTATTAGACTGATAGATTGTTAAAATACCTGTCTTTTGTTGTAACAAAACATTAATATATTCATTTTACAAAAAGAACAGATAAGACTTACCAATAATTATTCACCACACACAATTAAATTAATGTATTGATAATGTTATTATGATAATGCACGCATATGGCTTATGTTACAAGCCAGATTTTTTTATTGTTGTTATTTATTGTGTTTTTTTTAGCTTGTAATGTGGATTGTGTGCCTAATAAATCAAAAATTATATGTTTGAAGATTGAATTACAGTATTTAGGCTGCCCTATACTGTTATCTAGAGACAATTTTCACAGTATTGAAATGAAAAAGTTTCTAATAGTATTTATATAGTGATGTTTTAGCAGCCCTACTGAGTCCTTACACGTTGGGTGGGCCATGAACTTGTTTACCCATCTTAGAAATAAAATATACTTACGACTTCTAAATAATCATTTTTGGCGTCAGTGTATTGTGCTAATTTGAGGTAGACATTAGCTCGCTGTAGTCTCGCTGATGTGAAGTCAGATTTCAGCTCTAGCACCTAGAAAATAAACATTTATTGCTATAACATAAATTCAAAAAAACACTTGCAAAATATACAAGTGAGGTTGTCATATATATACCTTTGAAAAGTCTTGAAGTGCGAATTTTGCTTTTCCAAGGGCGTAATACACTGTACCTCTCTTGAAGTATGTAAGATAGTTATGTGGATCACCTTCTACAGAAAAAAAAGCATATTTTAGTAAATGTTAAAAACATTTTACTTAGATTGTAACTAGAGGTTTGATATGAGCTTGTGACCTTGATTCCCTATCAAGATTAAGCCTGAAGCACTCACCGACAGCTGCGTGATAATGAGTCAAAGCGTCAGAGAGTTGTCCTCGAGCCAAGAAGTCTCTACCCAACTCCAGATGCTTATTGACCTCCGCCTGCGTCGCGCACTCTGAAACTGCACGTCCACGTTTTAAAATACAAAGTTTCATACAGTATAATCATTAATAAAATAGTTTCAAATCCGTATTTTTTAACCTACATTCTAAAACAACTTCAAAGATTAAAAACACAAGGCAGGGAGTGACTTTATTCCAGCTGATACTCGCCAAGTAGTCCATTATAAACCTTAAATTAATAACAACACTTCTTCTTGCTAATTCACAATGAAACTGTTTTCAATACAAAATTATTATTTGACAGACCCACGATCCATCTTTCGTTCGTCTCTTTTCGTGTTTTGTTCTGATTGGTCCAAATCATTTAATGAAATATGACAGCTATTCATTGTCTAATTCGAGCTATCAGTTTAATTTTTTTAAGGTATTATCAACTGGTAAATAGACTTTCAAGTCAGGTCTTATTTCATCTCACTTTCTGTTATATGAAAAATGATGAAGCGAAATAACACGAAGTTGATTAGTGTGATACTTTAATCAATTGGTATAAAATGAAATGAAACTGAATGAGATGAAATAAAGTCTCAATAGAATGATGGTTATTTACGAAGACTTTTTCAGTACCATGACATGGGGTAAATTGGGATCCTGGGGTAAATTGGGACAAACCTGCGGAAGATTCTCAAAGTACCTGTAGCACGGAATCTACCTAATTTTGTTTATGTTAATATTTATCAATGTATAGAAGAAAAACCAAGTTAACTATGGAAGTACTAAATATGAGTTAAGTTGGTCCCAAAAATTCGTCAAATTAAATTGAAAATAGTGGTTGAAAAGTGCGTTTTAAAACAGCTTAAAGAACTTTTAAAAAAAGTAATATTATCGTTGTTTTTTCAATAAGATCACAGTTTATATAAGTTTTTAATACACCTGGAAATACCACAACAAACGGTAAGTTGCAATATTCTTATTTTAAATACAATATTTCGACAAAATAAAAAATGTATATTTTTTCCTTTCTTTTTGGGGAAAATTGGGACGTATGTAGGGTAATTTGGAACGAGACTGGAAAAATTAGGGACGAGAAAACACAAAATTGGAACGCCAAAAGACAAAATAGGGATGGCTTGTTAGGGTTGTCACTGATATCTTATAATAGATTTTTTAGCCTATACTATCACTCAATTGCGTGATGTAAAGAAGGTTAATGTGTTTATCAGTTAGTTTATGTAAGTACTATAGGTAAAAGAAAAGTATATATACCTAGTCAGGTCATAAATTCTATCACATGTTTAATGTAAAATAATTGAAACAAGTTTATTCATTATGTAAACATTCATATACTAAAATGAACTTAACAAAACAGAGATTCTTATGACACTAAAGTTTATTCAAAATGACCTCCGTGATCTCGAATACAGGCCTTCAATCTGCGCGGCCAGTCGTCTATCGCAGCACGAACGAGGTCCATGTCAATATCGGCGGCTGCCTTAATCAAGGATGTCTTGAGTGACACCAAATTGGGATGAGGCTTTGAGCACGCCTTTTCCTCCAAGTGTTGCCATATCTTGTAATCTAACGGATTCAAATCGGGACTGGAGGAGGGCCAGTCTTCGTGCCGGATGAAGTCGATTTCACGCGCCGCCAGCCAGTCTTGTGTGCTCTTCGCTCTATGAGCTGGCGCCGAATCTTGTTGGAATACCCAGTGCCTGTTATTGAACATGGTATGAAAAACAGGTTCCACAAGGTTCGTCAGGACTGTATTTTGATACACAACTGCATTCGTTTTTANCCCAGTGCCTGTTATTGAACATGGTATGAAAAACAGGTTCCACAAGGTTCGTCAGGACTGTATTTTGATACACAACTGCATTCGTTTTTACACCTTTCTCACAAAAATGTACCTCTGTTAAGCCCCAATAAGAAACTCCCAACCATACCATGAGCGAGGATGGAAAATGACCTCGTTGGACACGCGGAATACGGTTGCTCGCTTCTTCATGTATTCTTCATGTACACTACTGTGTGCGTACACCTTATCATTTTGTTTGTTGTAGCTCTCTTCTACGGTAAAAAATTTTTCATCCGAAAAATAATTTCTCGAATTTTTGGAGTTTACTCCTTTAGAATCGATTTACATATATAGGCCCGGGGTATGAAAATTATGGGGACCAAAATCGTACTAGCATGTCACACGAAATGCGTTATGCGCCTGATTGGCTCCTGATTGCGTGATGCGTGCGCGCGCCAATCAAAATCGTACTAGCATGTCACACGAAATGCGTTATGCGCCTGATTGG